GGAAGAAAATGGCCAGTGGGACCACATTCTCTTGACTGGATCCACCGGTGATTCAGTGAATTGTTGGGTCTCCAGTCCAAGCTGGGGATTTTTTTGTGGGTGGGGGGGGGGAGAATAAGGAAAAAACTGGATATGAAAATGAGCTAAGAGTGAGTAAATAGATGAGAAATAGAAGGGGGAAAGGATAAAGGTTCTAGAAGGATCTGAGGTAACTGAAAAATGCTAGGAAAGACCTAAGGCACCCAAAATGGTGATTGATAAAATAACTGAGAAAAATGGAGGGAACCCTCTCCTATATATATCATGGGAAGAGAGCGGTGAGGCTCCTGCCAAAACTAGCATAGCTAGGAAAATCTTCCAGACAGCATGCCCCATGCAGGCACAAAGCCCATGTGTGATGCACAGAGACCATGAAGAATGGACACTACTTTAACATTATACCTTAATTCAAGTTTTAACTAAATTCTACCTAACCTAGTGAGGAGGAGGCCCCTGCTACTTGTGGGTTTTCCACAGTCAAACTGGTTGGTCACTGTGTGAACAGAATAGTTAGACTTGATGGACTACTGGTCTGATCCAGCTCTTCTTTGTGCTTATGTAGTGCCTCAGGTTTTTCTTGCCAGTTTTCTAATTTAGTTCCCAAGCAACAAGAAACAGATTTTTAAAGGCCTTCTTAAAATGCCACACAGTCTAAACATATGAAAATTGAAAGGATCTATATGATGAGGTTTTGACAAATCTACACAACACGGCAAGTGTGGCAGTGGCTTCTGGCAAGCGTAACAAACTAGAAAGTCCTTCTCACCTGCTGCTCAGAGGCAAAACAGGTTCCTCCATGCAGCGGCATCCAAATGGCAGTTTCCCAGTGCCCTTTCCCTTGGAAAAAGCCATGAGGAGGAGGAATGGTTGAAGGCACTAGGATTCCAAGAAACCACTTTCCTGACAGGCTTTCCTGATAGGAAGCACTTGTGTGTGTGTGCCTGGAAGGGGACCAAGAAACCACTTTCCATCCATGGTCACTGATCACCTATAGATGCTGCTGACAGAACAAATATTCAGCACTGCTGGTCAGAGGTCCTCAAAAGCTTTCAGCTACTAGCCTGCTGCCCTTTTCTGTTGGAAAATGCCAGTGGACAAGGAGAGACTAGATGCTGCTGCACAGGAAGTCAGCAGGTATGAGCATGTATGTGTGGACTGGGTGATGCCAAGCAGCTCTTCTCCCACCAGCCTTTTCCAACAAGAAATACAGAAGGGTTGTTTGTTGTTGTGCTACGCTGGCTGGACCCACTCAGGGCACCTCCAGGAATTGTCACCCAATCCAGAAAGGCAGAAGGTTGGGACCTTGTCCACACTGGAGACAGTGGGAACAAGAAGTTTTGGCTCGGCCAGCGAAATTTGCAGAACCTTGTGTATAACACTTAAAATATGTGCTCAGAAATTTCTATGGTTCTTTTTTCTATTACACATTGCACAAAATTTTGCTTTCACTGTGGTTCAACATTATATCTGCACCCTTAGTAACCATGGTTCACACAATCCTGGGTATTCCCCTGGAAGCCAATGAAGGGATGCACTTGGAAATGGGATACTAGGTACAGCCATTCCAATTAGGGTGAATTCACACCCGCTAGTATGGTTAAGATTAAATGCACAACATTGCATTGTTCATGTACTTAATTCATTAGATTCAGTTTCTCAGCATGAAACACACATTCATTATGCACAGTATAGATTCTACCTACTTTCCTTGCTTAGGTCCCTGCATGATTTTTCAGAGAAGCACTTGAAAGTTGGAAATTTGCCAAAGCCAAGAATATATGTATGGTGAACAGTTTCATAGAATAAAAAAGGACAGAGAATAAACAGGTATAGCCACCAGAACTGTACTGTTTAGTGAAATAACAAATAGTGACTTCCTGCCTAAGAAACAAAGCAATGTAGCTGATCTGTGCAGCATTCAGCCATTTCTAGGCTTCCTTTTATTCCAATATTTTAGGCTGGTATCTCTTAGTATCACTTTACATAAACCAAGGGCTAAAACTGTTATTCATAGTAAATGGTTCCATTTTGCTTAAAAGCTGTTTAATTAAACATTAGATTAATAAGTAACCTTTTCAACAGAATTAAACACAAGTGGGGATTGACCCATTTTGTTCATCTGCATATTGATCCAGTGAAACATAATAGAAACAAACGCTGTACATGTTATTCTCAGTATAAGAGTAGAGAAACATGTAGGAAAGTCTGCCTATTCATTTTTCTGCTTGTTTATTTTGCAGTGCTGACCAGATGCCTTTTGGGATTTAATTCAAGCACTTAGATCATTGCTGCTTAAGCCATGACTGAAATCAGGCTGGCACAGGAAAACATCTCCCGTTTCAGCCAGTAATTCCAATGCCCCAATAAGCTGACATTACTAATGAATCATCACAGATTCAGGAGCCCTGAAGCAATAAGGCCCAATGTGTATATAATATGTATGCACTGATGGTACAGAATCAATATTTACTGTTACACATAAAAACAAAGAGCATGGCATGTTTACATACAGAAGAAGGAATGTAGCTTTTTTATTAAATATGAAATTCCTTCAAGATTAAAATTAAAGCCACAGACAAGTTGTGGCTAGAATAAACTGTCATATTGTAGTTTATACTGTTATATTTAAATATAATGGCTCTTATAGTTATTGGCATTGGGCTATTTGCTATTATTGGCAACCTCCTCAATTCTGTACTTCGTAACCTGATTGAGCTCACCTGTACCCAGCGTCGGCTGCTTTAAAAAAATTTCTAGGTAGATATTGTCTGATTTGGTCCAAGGGTGGCACACATGCCAAATTGATTCACTCTCCTGAGCTAAGGCCCCAGGTTGAAAAGCCACTACAGGCTCAAGGCAAATTAAATCTGAATAAAGGAACTCATGACATGCTCTGGTGTGGCTAATTCAGCTCATAAAGCTGAAGCAAGATTCCATGGTCAATCAACTATGAGTTCAGAGTTCTTGGTTACCATATCCCTGTGCTCTGATTTAAATGGTGACCTCAATAGTATATAAAAAACAGGACTCCCAAGTAACTTTACTTCCATAGTAGTCAACAGGCTACAAGGATATGCTTTTAAGTCTCCAATTCTGCATCTTGATGGTAACTCACTTGGCTATAGTATGAGTACAAATACAGTTTTGTGAGATAATATATGCTAAAACAATATGCCAAAAAACAATGTCTGAAGCAGATTGTGCAGGGCTTTTGCTATGGGCCTCCACATTTCCCTGTGACTTTCTTTCCTACGTATTTTAACATAACATACATAAACAAGATGCCAAACAACAGTAATGAAAGATGGAAAAGCAGCAAAATGTTTAAAACAGTAGGAAGAGAAAAAATAAATACTGAACAGGTTTGCGTGACAACTTTTCATGGGTTATAAACCTGGACTGATTTTTGGCCCAAAACAATTAAAATGAAAAGGTTCTGACAGATCCTGTAAGATACCACCCAGGTGCTTTGATGCAGCTGTGCTAGCTGTCAAAATGAGAATTGCAAAAGCCAGCATTCCTGCTCAAAAAAGCATAGTGGAAAAGGGGGAAAAACATAGTGCACTGAAAACAGCTTGCAATTGCAGAGGGAAGGGGTAAACAACTCAGTCCTCACACAGTATCCTCTGGCCAACAACCCACTGTGAGCAAAATTGTCTACTGGGCTCATTGCAGGTGGTTCACTTGACAACCAACCTGCCATGGCATATTGCCTGGATGGGTTAATGCAGCATATGAATGCACCCATTATTATAATGTCTGTGTATGTTTACACTTGTAAGCCACAACTCACTGGATCTTATGCATCCTAGATCTACACACAGGTATAGATTCTTCTTTTAGTAGCTGGTTACCTGTAGTCCAATGACATTTTCCACATCCCTGGGTATCCAATATGCCATGTTGCCATCATAGTTGCTCCTTTATAGACTTGGAAAAGTGAATTGGCTACTCCTAAGAGCCAAGAAACAAACCTTTCCCAGAATAAACTAATGTAGTTTGTACAAAGATAAAACTCCCAGTTTTACTGCTACGGATTTTATATAATAACCTTTGCTACGACTTTACCTGTTGAAACTCCTAAAAAACCCTCAGCTTTGTACTACTTTGTACACAGTACTATTTTGTAATATGTTAACTCTTGCCAGAGCTCAGCAATCATTTACTGGTGCTATTTTTAGGTTTCCTTTTTCTCACCCAGGACGTTCATGCATTTTGAGTTGCAAAGTGAGACTGTATCCTCCATTTTTAAAATGCTTTTTTGCAATTCATCATCTGGTTCCTATACCAGCTTCCGCACACTAACCCGCTTCCATTTTGCAGAACAGTCCAGGAAGACTGAGAACCAGTGTGAACAGAGTGGTGGACCAGTGATTTCAGTGCTTCAGGCTCTAATGCCCACTCAGTAACAGATTTCACTGGGTAATGTTGAGTCAGTCACAGACTCTTAAGCTAACCTACCTCACAGGACTGCTGTTGTGAGGATGTAATTGGGAGAAAAAAGAGCATTATATTAGTCACCTTGAGTTCCTTGAAAGGAAAAAAGGCTGGCTCTAAATATAATAAATTATTAAAATTTATATTTTTATTTATTTTATATTATTAATTTTAATTTTATATTGTTACTTTTGTATTGTATTGTATTTTATTGTGTTGTAAGCCGCCCCGAGGCTTCGGCAAGGGGCGGCATAGAAATGTTCTAATAATAATAATAATAATAATAATAATACCAAAAGGATTTGCAAATTGCATAAAGAAGATTTTGGAGTCAACTTTCTTTATGGCAGGATCCAAAAAACTCACCTGAAACATTGGCCAGATATTTTCGTTCAAGACTAGCATGGTTTGTCTTGTTTAATACCTCAAAAATGTTACAGAGGCCATAGAGATACAAAAACAGACAGGTCTTACTGCAGGCAGAGAATTCGTAATGTTTTTCAGTGTTATGGTCAAGTTCCTACCTCTCAGTACTGACTTCAGATTCAACTTGGCTTGACGATGAAGATCTTCCACACAGGGTGGCCTTGAGGAGGGTAGAAACACATTCTCCTGCTGATGCCAAGGTGCTGTATAATGGACTGTCCATCTACTCTCTTCATCTAGATTGGAGACAGCTGTGGAAAGGGCAGAAAAAGAATGTATTCTTGATATTCAACTAACTTATGGAAGCACCAATGAACAAAGGAGAGGTTTGTGGAAATGAAGGGGGAACTGTCAAGAGTTTTTTGCAGACATAAAGGGGAGAGTTGCCATAAATACTATTTATTAAGAAAAGGGTTTGGAACAAGTTCCTCATTAAGTAGCAATTTTTTTTTAAACTGCCATTATAAGATTTGGTACTTTATTGTGCATAACACTGCACCTGTTCAGCTCATTATTTAAAATGGGACATTTATAAGCAACATGATGAGGTTTACAACGGTGCAAAATTTCAAACCGAATCAAAAGTAAGTTTCATAAGAAGGTAAAAACTGCTGAAAATGGACACATTTACCCCTCCAGATCCATTTTTTAAACAGAAACATAACATATTCCTTTCAAATTTGGTTGAAACTAGGGTGGGTTTCATTTAAATCAAATTGATTTAAAGCACTTATGTTGGAGTTGTCCTAATAAAATTATAGTTTACATCTTGAATTAAGGAAATTTTACCTCCCTTCCTACCACCTTCTCCCTCCCAATGTCCAAGATTTTTCCATCCTGGCTCTGTCTATGGGAATCAAGAGAGACCCTCTGGATATCTAAATGAGTCTCAAGCTGGCTAATCAAGTACACAACTCAGCAGAATGTTACAATGTCACTATTCGAACTGACAAATGTATCAACTCCTACTCCTCTGGTATGTGAAGTACAGCCTTGTTGCTGAAACTTTGCAAATAGCCACCAGCTGCTTCTTGATTGCTATCTGGATACCAAACTAGTTTACTCTTTGTATTTATGGAATTTCCTAACTCAAGACTCTAAAAGCAAACATAGAAACCTATTAAATTCTGTAACTCTTGATGTTTTACTTTTTATCTGTCACTCAAGTAATTGATGTAACCTAATGGTTTCCTGATGCTTTCCTGATATTTCTGTATCATCCGTGTAGGCTTCTATACTGTTCTTGCATATCTTATATTCAAAATCTCATTCTCCTCCCTGCAATATGTTACACCAGCTCCATAAAGCACTCTGTATATGCTCTGTATCTTTGTATCAGTCTAAGACTGGCCACCCCTCAGCTATACTATACTACTATACTATAGTACTTAGGAATAGTACTATAGTATTTAGGAATACCTGTTTGCTGTTAATAAACTGTTGAATGCTTGACTTTACACTCCCTTTTGGATCTGGATATTCATTCTTTGCAGGTGTGAAATCCTGACACTAGTCAGTAAGACTAGATTTAAATCATGCTTTAATACATAATTTGCTTGCATGCCTGCCTTACCAGTAGCTAGAGGAACTTCATTAAAATATTCCAATATTCTCTTTTATGGCCTGCTCCCATTGTAAGTTTTCTCCTCCAGGGAAAGAATATGATAAACCTCAAGCTATGCACAAAAAGATTCAAAGAATTGTGCTCAAAAGGTTTTACACTGGTACCATGGCTCACGACCAAATTGGGTCGTGAACAAAAATTTCATAAAAAATTTGACTCAGGCCGTGAACTCTGCATTGGGTGGCAACTGCGATCACAGCCATCTCCACACCCCACCCCCAAGTGGGGAGATGGCCACGATCGCAGCTGTGCTAGTGCAGGTAAGACAGGAGCAATCCTGGTTGTGTTGCGGGGGGGGGGGGGTGGCCATGATTGTGCTGTGGGGGGAGATGGGCCAGATCACGCCCATCTTTCCTGCACGAGCGCAACTGCAATCTCAGCCATCTTCCTCCCCAGCACGCCCGCAATTGTGCCCATCTCTCCTCGACACAGTCATAGTTTTGAGAACTGTAAAACCAAGCATCTGTGATAATATCCTTTAGATAGAAAAATTCCCAAAAAAACCCCCAATAATCTTGCAGAAACCTCTGGAAGACCATGACATTGTGAATGGATTAACGGAATTCATTTACCAAAAAACCCTGAACATTGCATGAATATACAGCCTCATGCTACATAATTAAAAACTAATCCTTATTTCATGATAAGTTTTGACCTATAATGTATTTAAATAGAAAACTTTATTTAGATAGATTTTTTCCTCAAGAAGCATTTACAGAATCCAAAAATCCAATTTACATAAAAATCTGATTTAAATTTTTAAAATCCTATTTTTTAAAATTGATTTATACCCACCCTGAGTGAAACCTACTGGTGGACTTTATTCAGACTTGCAGCGAAAGACAATCCTTCATGGTGTATCTTGGTGGTTTGAAATGTATTATGGTTTCCTGACTTCATTAGCATTTGTGATAGCAATTGTTACTATCGGTATATAATGCATGCTCAGTTTCATTCTAAAGCTAGAATATTACCAGAGGGTTTTTGCAGAGGATTTTGTTTCAGAAGGAATCCAGTGGATCCATTATGAATTCTCAGGATCAAACTTCATGCTAATGCAGAATTGAAACCTAGCATAAAAACCTAGGGCACTTTAACCCTTTGCTCCCTGCAGTGGTCCCATTCTGGATTGGCCCTCTGTGACTGCCATTTGTAATACCAGAAGAAATCTAGCTGTAATAGAAATGGAAGGAATAGGGGAGACAAGCCAGATATGGCTTATATTGGGATACAAGGGATTAAAGCCCCCTGTGCCCCGTGCAAGGTCTCATTCCACACTGAATTTCCTGGACCTTTGGCTTTTCTCAGATGACATTATGATTTCTTGCAGAGGGGCTTAATACTCTTTTATTAAAAAGAGGATTATTATCATACTTTATACCACATTCTATCTAGAGGAACCTGGTAACACTGATGGATTGTCAGATCACCACTTCTATCTCATTTCATACCAGATAATCTGTATGAGTTGAGCGAAAACCAGGTTCACTTCCACATGTCACTTTTTTCGTATCTATCACACCAAAGGCCTGATGTGTGGCATAACTCTTCACAGGTTTGTTTACTTTGGCATGCCATCATAAACAGCAGACCACACTGGTTTTTATTTCCCCAAAATGCCAGCAGTCCTTTCTTCTGCTTTTATATACATAATCCAGTACTCAAGAATTTCATTCTCAGACCTTAGAAATGCTAATGCATCTAGAAAAGCTAATGAACCAAATCATAACAAAAAACTCCTTATGTCACCATGTTTAATACTTCAGGGAATTCCATCCACTTCGACAGTTGTTTTAAAAAATCTTTTAAAGCAAATACCTACATGAAAAAAACCTACACCTGTCCCTTTTATACCTGTTCTGCCTATGTGAACTCACCAGGGATTTCACTCATCGCCTCATTGCACTGATGATAGATCTTCATTACCCCCTTTGTATACTGAGACCACATCTTTTCAATTCTCACATGAAAAGATTTAACATTATTCTTTTTGTCTTATTAAAGCTGCTTTTGCAAGGACCTGACTCTTCAAAATCATCAACTCCCTCAAAAGATCAAGCAGAGATCAGGTGGATGGCCTTACTTAAACTTAAAATGACTCCCAAAAGATATACGTTCAAGACAAAGCAAGCACCTACTTTTAGTGCACATAGTGTGAATGCACAATTTCCATGTAATTAGTATGCTTTATAAACTAGTGTAAGTGAAAAAAGGTATATACATTAATGGGAAGAGATGTAACAGTATAAAAATTGGTTGCCTTTTGTCACAGGGAACAATCTACAACTGGTGCCTTCTATAAGCATTCTCAGATTAGTCATGGTTGCTAGAGACATGTTCTACATGACCTTAAAAACAAGACCTTTTTTAAGCATATGAATTTGATACACTTTACCGTAACTGTTCCATAAGCATATCATGCTTTGGAGGAGGGAGTTAGCAGTACATGCTTGAGAAACTCCAAGGTCACCTATATTCATTACATTGGATATGATCAGAAACACCTCATGCAGCAAGGCAGATAATGCTGACACAATACAGGGGCTGTCCTCCCTGCCCTTCCTAACCAGCAGTCAAAGCCAAAAGATAATGAACAGAGAAGTCATCCACTGCCTGATTACATCAATCACTCCAAGTCTTGTGGAAAATGAAAACCATATTAAATAACTCTCAGGGACAAAACTTCACAGATGAGACAAATGCTGGATGCAGAATTATGTTATCCTTGCCATGTTAGTGACAACACCCTAGTTTTACCATGACAAATTGGGACTGAGCTAAATGCAGAGTATTTTGGGTTTTTAAAAAATGCATACTTATTGCTTAGAAATTAAATTCAGATTAATCTGCCATTCTGAACCAAGGATATGTTGAGAACCATGCTGGATTGAAGCAATCAAACTATCAGTTAAAAGTCTGCAACAGGGCAATAAGGAATAAAGAGCCAGTGTGGTGTGGAGGTTAGAGTGTTTGACTGGGACTCAGGAGATCTGGGTTCAAGAGGGAGCTCAATGAGTGACCCTGGGCCAGCCACAGTTTCTCAACCTAACCTACCTCACAGGACTGTTGTGAGGATAAAAGGGAGAGCCTTGCAATCTACCTTGGCTTCCTTGAATGAGGGGAAAAGGGCAGCTTATAAATATAATAACAATAACAATAGAGCAAAAGATCCCTAAGGAGCTTTTTATAGCTGTTTTTGCACATGAAAAATTGCTGATGGAGCTGAGAGCCCAACAAGGTTTTAATAGAGTGTCTCAGCATGCTAATCTACTCCCAGGTTTCAGCACTATTCTCAATTTATCACATTAAAAGTGGTTCCACTTTTCCAGGAATGACTCAATAAGTCATAACAAAATGACAGGCTATGAGTTAAAAGTTTATGACAGTGACAACAAAGCAACACCCACAAGAACAGGTGCTTGGAACACAGCCTTTAATAAGCTGCCTCTATACCCTAGAAAGGCATGAAAAACTAAACATGCTATGCACTTGAAAAAATGAAAGCAAGTTATTCAACGTTTCTCTAACATGAAATTTCAATGTTCTACAAAATATCACAACAGATTAAAAAGCCATGTTTACTTACTCTTCTTCTTGAAAATTTTGATTAAGGATTTGAGCTTTGTATTGATAAGCACCACCATTTCAGAGAAGCGTGTTCTGCTTGCTCCTGCTGTTTGGATCCCATAGAAAGCAGGAATATCTTGCAGGAAACTAATTTCCAGAGCTTTTTCAGCAGTTCTTGAAAACCCTGCTAACTTTTTGCGTCCTCCCACTCCCCCAACCTCACTTGTTTCTCATTTAAGTATAAGCTCAAAGTTTCGGAGAATGTCCCACCAATTAGAAACTATTAACAGTCCTTGAACCTGAGAGCTCGCTCCTGAAATATAATGCGGTGCCTGCAACAGCAAGTTATAGCATGGGGTGGGGGGAGAAAGCTAATCTTTGTTCATGCTTGCATGGAAGCAAGATGGAGATTTCTGCTTCAATGCTTATTGATAGATGTCTCCCTCTCTCCCCGTCCCTTTAGGAAATCAACAGTTCCCATTCCCTTTCCAGGTTGTATGCCGCAAAGGTTAGCAACTGCAAATCATTTCCCTTGCTAGTAATCTAATGAGATCTGAAAAATCCTTAGCAGGACAGAAGAAGGGATGTTTTCTTGTATCTCCCTGGTTAAATGTGAACATGCAGAATTTAAGCTGTGTGGGACAGGGAGACTCAACTATTGTTTCCCAAAGCAGCCGCTTCCTCCTTACCATTCCCAAGGACAACCTTTATGCTCAGCAAGGCTTCAGCTCCAGAACAGCATCTCCATGGAGCTGTGAAAAAGCATCGCTTTCTCCTGCAAATCATGGAGTCTTCTTTTCCAGTCCTTTTATTAATCACTTAATCTCTTCATTTTGATTGTTTCCAACAGGCAAAAGGTTTCCTTCACTGCCTTCAAACCCCATAGCTTCCTGCCCATTCCCATCAATTACAAATTAGCAACAAACAAGCAGTGCTGCATATTCGTCTTTCCATTCCTTTCTTCACTGCATTCTTAAAGTCAATTTAGAAATGCAGTTACAAACAAACCCAAATTAATGAATAATTCTGCAAGTTTTGACAAATTACCTAAGAACTTTAAAATAATGTGCTTTATCTCCTGGGAGAAATGCAAAATGTTTGAACTGAAAACAACACTTCTTTCCACTGATTACAAATGATTCACAGTTCTGGAGAGAAAAATGCTAACTGCAGCATCAATGGGCTCAGCAGGGCATGTCTGCAGCATAATGCTGAGGCTCAAGAAGTCAAGCCAGCCTTTCAAGGAAAGACAAGTGAAGACTTGGCTCGGGATTGAAAGGAATTCTCACTTCCTCAGAGTACTGCTAGCAGCAGAGTCCACCCCAGCCTTTTCCAAAAGGAGCCACATAGTTCAAATCTCTGGGACAGCTCATGCAAAAGCAGGAGCACTTGAGAAACACTTCGTGCCTTGGTGAATTTTCCATTAATCAGAAATACACAGAGCAAAATATAAAGATGTAAACTTCTTCTACAATGAAATGCCTAGAGGAAATATAAACAGTGATGCTTGGCACTGAGATGTCATATATGCCAAACAAGGTGAGGATATTTTAAATACTGAACAAAGTGTGGATATGCAATGCCACACCCCTTTATTTAGTAATAAGGTAAATGACTTTTGCAGTTCATGTCCTCTTACTAATTAGAGCCATGAATTAGAACTCCTCCAGTCTGACCCAATATAAAAATACTATATTTCAAGCAAGACTCAATTACACAAATATAGCTGGTCATCTAGAAAGAATGCTGTTTCCCATAATTGCAGAAGCTGCCCATTTCAAAAGCTAACCATTTTACTGGTCCCTTTCAAGGTCTGAGGGTCTCAACTAACCCAGACACTGGAGGAAACTCTTCAAAGGAATTTGAGAGCCCATGGAGAAAGAAGGGGAAAAACCTGTAGTATTCCCACAGTCAGCCAGAAAAGCCCACCTCAAGGATGCCTTACCTGAGTCTCCCACTAACTTCTCTGACCCCTTCCTGACCCCAGTATTGATCCCCAATTGTCCTCATTCATCCCTTGGATCTTAAGAGTGGCAATGAACCTGTTGAGGACCCCAGAATTGCCTGCTTGGATGCCAGGAACTCTAGTACCAGGGATCGAATGAGACCATCTAGCTGAAAACACAGACCCAGCTGAGGACCAGGAGGTCTAAGGGCCTGAGAAGGATAAGACTCTCAGTCTCCTCTGAATATCTGTTGGCTTAACAGCTCTCTTTGAACCATTACCTCTAGCTTCTTGGGTTAGCAGTTGGAAGAAACTGGTCAGAAGAAAGAAAGAGACAAAGGTAGGTCAGAAAAATAGGAGTTAAGATGGGGAATTCATGACAGAAATTAGGAACCAGTGAGTGGGAGAAAACTTATAAGCAGAGGTTTGATGTTAGAAAAGGGAGCTAATTTTAAATAATGCTGCAGTATGACCAAGATTTAGAGTATATTATGCTGAGAGGTCTGCAACTGTTCAGGAGGAAAAGCATCAAGGTCCTCCTGCCTTCTAGACCATAAAGAAAGCTGCAAGCCAGTGGCAGTTGCTTTACTACTGAGCACCACAGAGAAGCTTTCAGGAAAAAGTCTGGGAAGGTTTAGAGGTACTGGGGAAAGTAAAAGAAAAATGCATATTTGTCATAATAATTCCATTCCAGAAAAATGTGCTATTTGAAACAAAACGTTAGTATAATGCATTTCTATTCACCATACAAATTCAGTCTTTATCAAACCTCAATTTGGGCTGTTAAATCATTGTGCAGGTTACTTTATAAAATGCAGTGCTGCTATATTTAAAGGTTTTCTAGTTTGTAACTATTTGGAACTATTGGAGAGATGGGTGTTTTACATTGTGTGCTTGAAGTATGTGTGTTCTACCCATCCCCCGTCCATCATTTTGCCCTACATACATTTCCAGTTGACCTGTTCCATGGCAATCCTCTGAGACAGTCACCCAGACAATCAGGATCACATAAAAGGTTTTAAGCTGTGAAACAATTAGAAGCATTTCTTTTCCCACATTATATTAAGAAAACTCTTCAGGAATCATTCCCACATTTGCTATAGGTTTCCAAAACTGTTTCATCAATGTTGCTAAATAACCAGTTCTTCACTTTTCAAAATCATGATAACAAAACATAAAAAACCGTACATTAACTAACATGAACTATAATTTACAATTCAGTATCACAGAAAAGATGCATGGATGAAGACATTAACGGAATATTCCTGAATAATTTATTCATCATTATTCTAACAGTCCATCTTTCCAGATCCTGGAAATCCAGGCAAATGTGAAATGAAAACATTGTAACAAAATTGCTGGATTCACATTTAGGCTCTATCAGTTTTCTAGATCTCGTGGAATGATAATCCAAGGTTAAGACACTGCTTGAAAAAGTAAAAATGCACAATGCATGTAAAATCCAAGAAATCTCTAGGGTAACTCGCTAAGCCAAGAACATCGTTACAGGCAATCTCAAGAATCCCTGTTACCTTTAACAATTAACTCAGTAGAGGGAAAAAGAGGAGAGATAAAAGAGGTGTGTTCACATTAAATACATTATAATCTAAACCTGTGTGTATGGCACTCTGGCCAAAGCAAAATGAAATATACACATTTGTTAAGACCAAAAATCAATAGCCAGGGATGCACATTGACCTAGCAAATAAACTATGCAGGGCAGCCTGCCTGCGAAACAACCCAAAGGGCACTGGATAGATGGTTGGACGAACTGTGGGCGGTTCCCTCACTTCCTCTGCTGTTAGCAAATTTCTTGTGCCATTTCTTTCTAAAGTGTGGCGAATCAAGTGGCAGCTCCTCCAATGTGCTGCATGGGGACTTTGAAGGCTCATTATGAGAAGTTAATTTGTGAAAAGTGATCTCCAGGAGAAATAGAAGAGATAAAAGTCACAGTGACTGAGAAAGGGATGTGATGACAGATAGATATGATGATGTCGACTGTGGTGGGGGACACCAAGCTAATGATAACTGCCCCGCTATGCCACTGGGGCACTGCTCAGGGGGCCGGCTCTGGTTCTGGCTTGAGCAAATTTGGCAAGTGCAGTGAAGGTTTTGGCCCACTCCTGTGTGTTACTTCCCACAGCCTGCAACAGTCTCCTGAGTTCAGACAAGAATCCAGTTCAACAACTCCGATAACACAAACCATGCACTGTTGAGGTGGCTTATTGCTTTCACACAAACCACCCTGCAGGAAACAATCCAGGTTCAAATGATACAACTTGTCGCCTACAGTGTGTTGTTGTGTCGTGCAAACCCTGTCAAGTGTGGTAGAGTGTACACTATTAAACTAGGGAAGACCCAGTTTGAAACCCTCATCTCAGCTATGAAGCCCATTTTGTAACCTCAGTCGAACCTAAATCACAAAGTTGCTGTGAGGACAGAATTGAGGAAAAAGTCATATACACTACCCTAAGTTTCTTATAGGGTGAGTAATATGTAACTTATATGAAAATAAACTTATCTGAGAAAAAGGCCATTTAACTCAGTGGAACATATACTGTGCTGTATATTAGAGGGTTTTTACACCACACAAAAACAAAATCAACTAGGTACTATTAGTGGAAGGTTCTTGTGAATTTAATGCCTTCTAACTCCCAAATATATTTAAGGATTTCCCTCCACATTATGTAACTTTTATTATGCTTATAGTGAGGTTAAACAAGGATTGTTTTTACAAACAGCAACAAGTTTACACAAACCAGACAAATTCCATTTGCAGCAAATGTATTTACATTCACAGATTTTCTATCCAGACAAACTGATAAAGCAAAAGAAATGTTCCTGAGAAGCACTTCTAAGATGTAAACTGTTGCCTGCTTTTATTACTTTCAAGAGATCTCTGAGATGTCTTCAAAAGCCATACTCCAGCCAATTAATTTGTAATAAGTATCTAAGAAACAAATTAAAAAGTATGAAAAGGCCATCCAGCCCTGCCCACTTATATTCAGGCGCTAGTAATCTAATCAACCTTGTGTTGTTCTTCTACGAGAAGCAATGATAAATAATTTATAAATTATGAGGCATTCTTTTCCCTTTTCAACCAGCCAGACCCAGCCATCCTCTGGCATTTTTCCTGAGAACAAAAGTGAGTTCCCGCCACAGAGACACTCCCAAGAGGCAATGAATTCAGCTGCCCCCTCCCCACCAACATCTTGAACTCAAGTCACTCACAATGGTTTCTTTCAAATAGGCAATCTTAGTCTTCATGCATCTCAACGCTTCTCTATCTACTAAGAAATGATAATTAATTAAGCAGGGATCCAGTAAGGAATTGGGGAGAAGCTGTATTTTACTTGTAACAGCTGTGAAAAAAATAAAGAGCAGTGCACCATTGAATCCAAGAGGAAAACCATTCATACAGTGAGGCTTTGAGGAGATTATATAGTAGGTAACTGCTTAACAGAACACTGCAGCTCCCCAATTATCCATGCAGCCAGGAGAAAAGAAAACTTTGAGAATGAAGCTGAGGAATGAAGAACAAAATGCACAGGATAGCGGGACAATGCAGCATAATACGTATAAAGGAAAGACTAAAAGTTTATTACAATAATTTGATTTGGACCATAAAGTAATATTGCCTGACCAGAGGGTATGGTGCTTTGTTCTGTCTTTTGTATTGCTTGAATCATTCTCTTTCTACCATTATGAACTACCACCTTGAACAGCACTAGGCAAGGTCAAATAGATATGTGTAGATCAGAATTTAATACCTGTAAGGATCTCAAGTTTTGAAATGTGTGTTTACTAAACACAAGTCTTTTGGATAAGGGAAGCTACTAATGAAGATAAACATAATTCTATCTATCACTGATCCTTAAGTGTTCAGGCAGCAGAAAAATGCATATATTTGGGCCAGAACATCTCTAGCTT